TCTTTTGAATAATGACATTGTTGATTGAATTTGAAAATTTTCTTTATTATGAATGCACATGATACTGTATTAAATGCAGAAAAATTATAATTTCATTAAAATAAAACAAAAAATCAAATATAATCTTTTAAAATAGAAAATCAAATCAATTCATTTGTAATGTGCAATGATCGAATGATTCTTGCAGGATATACTCTGAAGACAGTGATGTGCAAGTTCAAGGTTTGCCTGTTGTGAGTATTGTATATGTAACTGTAAGGATAAAATTATAACATATTTAATATGCAACATTATTATTTGATTATTATTATCCTGATCATGTTGATCTGAATGAACAAATAAATAATATTAAGCGTGCCCAATCACTCCAATATCTACATGTACATGTTTATCAATGTTTGAAAGAATCCTGTGTAAAGTTATATATAGTTGGAGAGATAAAGAGGAAGAGTGAGAGAGATGTTGATAAAAGGGTCAATATAATTGAAAATCATGCATCAGTGATTTTTGTTTAATTCTCAAAAGATTTAAACACATTCTGTTCTATTTTGAGCAGATACCTTAATGACAAAGAATGGGTGAAAAAATTCTCACATTACCATGCTGCATAATAGTACATGTAAGTTCGAAGGCAGAAGAAAATCCATTAAAAGAGAAATTATAAATACAGTTAGTTGTCTGTTTCAGCAAACAATTTAATGAACTGAAAATTATGCTGAAACATGAATCAACATATTATGCAAAACTGTAAATGATTGCATTACATATTTTTCTGATTTGCATGTAGTGCATTGATATTTGTCAGTATTTTTCATGAAGTTTTCTTTCTACATTATTGCAAATGCTTGTATTTTATTTGGATTTATCAAATGTAAAGGATTGTATTAACTTATTAATCATATTTGTAGTTCAGCTGTAACAAAAATTATTTGATGAAAGCTTCAACCACGAGAATTTAAGGAAAGGGTGTCAAGTCCAAAGAGAAGGTTTGTTGATTACTGGTGATGATATGTTATTGAGGTAAATAGAGTACAGCAATAAAATAGAGAGAACAATAGTAATCGGTAGACAAAAAATTAAATTTTAATTCTTTTCAAGAATAGGCAGGTCATTATTAGTCACTCTAAGATAGTTAAGAGCAGATTTAGATTTGTTCAGATCATATAGCTATAGGGTAGGGTGGGTCCACAGTGGGTGGTTAAAGTTTTATTCTTGAATATTTTAGGCTGAAGCCATTTATTATGAAATCTATTCAAGATTATCAGGGCCACGATACATCATATTTTTTGAACGAATACATCCTAGTACAGAATCTCAGAATCAAGGGTAATGGATGTGCCATAATTAGAAACAGAAAGTTTATCTTGAAAGTCCTATGTAAATTTTTGAAAATTGTTTTGTTCATTTCTTGGCATTAAGTTAAATAAAGAGATTACAATAATAAACGTTTTCATAATTTGAATTCCTATTTTATGGAGACTTTAGTTGATATCTATGTAAGGTAAAAAAAACTACAATTTTCAGAAAGAAAGCAATATTTTGGTGTTATAGAAAAGGGGCATAACTCTCATCATGATAGTAATAATGGATTTGAGATAATGTGAAAAATGTGTACTGTTGGAAAACAAGTGAATACAACGCAGTCTAAATAAGTACACTTAAAATGAAAAAAAATTGACTACCTAGGGTATGTTGACGTTCATGACAGTATTACAAATTGGATGAATGATTTGCAAACATTTGGATTTGCATATACATGATTTACTTTTGTTAATTTAATTTGCTCATTTTGCGCATATCTCTTTCTCATGCAGATTATTAATGAACAATGATAGATTGAATTAGTAGCTATGAATGGCATAAATGTATATGAATTTTATATACTCTGTTTAGAGTTGAACTTTGGTATAAATCTTTGACAGTTGACTCTGAGTGATATTTTGGACACATTAAGATATCAAAGTCATTTTTAAGTCCCTTGAACGACATTTTTTTTCTATATATCTTACCCTGAATCTCTTGGATATCTCAATTTTTTCAGCAGTCCCATGAGCATTTCAAGATAACAAGTGTGACTTTATCTTATTGATTCAATTACTTTATGATGAATTATAAAAATATCAATCATATACTTTTATGTTAATGCATTAACATTTTATATTTTTCAGACCATATAACAAATGGTTGTTGAATTCATGAATACTAACTGGGATGATGCAGTAATTTCCTACTCATATGAACCGTATCTAAACATCATTTGATGATCCCTTTCCCAGAGAAAAAAAAGAATTTTCATATTCAAAGACTTTATAGTTTATTATTTATTTGTACGTTTTTTTTTTAAATTTTTCTTGAGAAATTTTCACTCATATGGGGATGCCAACAATTGTCGGTGGAGAGCTGCAAATTTTATCCTTTAATTGGCACACATGGCTAATTGAGGAATGAGGGATCTTTTTGGTGCTAGCACCTTCTGCAACACAGGACATCTCTATATACAGTTTCATCTCTATGTCCGACTGTGGGATTTCGAACCAGCAATTTATGGATCAACTCCTTACTCATAACTCTCCAGCAGACGCTCTAGCCACTATGCCATGCAGGTGACTTCATAGGTCATAAAATGATAAGATGAGATTTATAACTTAAAACTGATGTTTTTAATTCAATCACATATAGAAAATGTTTGCAAAAAAGGGAGGTAATAGCTACATGTAGCTCTCACTGGTATTGCATGCTTAAACTTTATGAATAACATATTGTAATTACACATGTATTTTAAACAAGATCAGTAAAGAAAGAAACACTTGGATATCTTAACTATGAATTTTATTATAAGGTTGATTATCTTTAAAAAAAATGGAAGGAGAGCATGACGCTGGATAAAGTCTTGAATTCCTTTTTGCAAGGGAAGAAATCCATGAGAATCAAAATATTCCACCACCGGACTGCTTACATACTAACACACCCAGTGTTCTCCAGGTTGATCTTGAGAATCCGACTTCACTACAATGGCTTTTTCTCCAGGTCTTAAGGTACACAGGGAAAAGTGGCTCGCATGATTTTCATGCGATTTTCTTTTCGCATGAAATTCATGCAAAATCATACAAAAAACGTGCGAAAAATCACACATGCAAATTTCATGCGAATGTTCCATATAATATTTATGCGAAATTCATGCGATTTTCATGTGACCCTATTTTCGCATGATATACATGCGAATTTAAATTTATCAGTTTTTCATGCATAAATCGTGCAAAATTCGCATAAATATTTTGCGATATTCATATATCATTAGAAAAGCAATGAACAAAGAAATTTAACATTTCAATGTTTATTTAGGTGTTTCTGCCACAGTGAGTGATAAAAATTGACAGTCTCTGATGATTCGAATGTAATATTTATTTGATGTTTCTAGTTTATCCATTGATGTGAATAATGTCTGTGTTTAAAGGCAGTTTTTCAGTCTTTTTTTCAGTCTTTGGTCCTGACAATTATTTCCTACAAAGAAATTTTATTATAAAATTATATCTTCCCATACTAATATTCCAATTGTTGAGGTCAATTGGAACCAATTCCTAAATTAGGATGACATGAAATAAAATAAATACAATGATATCACTTGAAAGCTAAGGTCCATGTCTTGTCAATTTGGTCTCACACAAAGAGTTCACTAGTATGTGTTACTATATAGCTTTGATTAATCGATTAACTAGATTCTCAGCAGAAATTCATGAGATAAAAAATAATTTTAAGAAATAAATGCTGAGACAAAACTTTAAAATCAGACAAAATATGCCTTATGCGCCTTTTAAGAAAGAAAATTAAGAGTAAACATACCTACCCTGAAATACATGTGGGTTTCAGATGTTGACAAACAGCATACACACCATCAAGGACTTTGCATCAAGTGCACCTAAAAAAAAAGAGTTCCCTTTTAATTCAGTGGCACGATTCTGCTAAAGATATGATATTCCTAGTACAGGAGTCCCAAATTAAAACTAGCCCTAAAAAAAATTACCAATTTGAAAATTGAAAATAGAAAAAGAAATTGTCTCTCTACATATATTGTTCGACATTTGACTTTTAATAAGTTCATTTTGATGGTACTGCATGTAAAATAAATTATACTTTGAGGAAAACAAAAGACCCTGTGCATAGGGGCATCTTACCCACTCTGTTCTCTACTTCATATATAAAAATACACAAGGGAAGAATTGAAAGTAGCACACGATTTTTTAAAAAAAAGTCGAAAAACAACTTACTTGAGAAAAGCTACGTAAATCCTGCAATGCACTGGCGCAAATGATGTCCTTGTACTTATCCAGACTAAAATATTCCAAATATATCCATCGAAGTAGCTTTTATCTAACGAAAATCCCAGCTTTCTGCACAATGTGAAACTCTTCGCCCAAGAAAAGATAACTCACTCGGATGACAGTAGGGTAGTACCTGAGGCCTTCAGATTGCACTCGTGTGCTACCTTCGATTCTTCCCTTGTGTATTTTCATATGTGAAGTAGAGAACAGAGTGGGTAAGATGCCCCTGTGGTAGAACCTGAATTAAAAACAAGATCCGTATTAACTCTGAAAATTTTCGTTGCAAATTGAATATCAATAAATAAGTGCATTACAAACACAAAATATGGCAAACGATTTTAAAAAGCATTCATTTTTACCTTTGTTTCAAGGATAAGAGCGCAATCAGTCAAAAGGAAAGTCTGGAACAAGCCACACGAGGTTCTTTCGCTGACTTGTTTTTTTTCCTGTAACAGGAAGTGCAAGTAGAACCCGATTTATTCGCGATCGGCTTTTCGGTTTCGTATTCGTCACAGAATCGGGAAATACCTTATCACTTTAATTTTTGTCATTCAATTTTTTATATCTTGAAAATCTATTTTCGTGTTAAAGTCGAACTTTGATGACAAGGGTTATAAAATTTACGTTACGGAACCAGAGGTAGTTTTACTATGGAATGCCTTACGTCACATATTACGTCATCATGCGGCTGAGAAAGCAGACAAGAAAGATCAGAACGACTGCATATTTTCTGTAAGTGTATATTGTCATCTTGAATCTTCTAATTTTTATACCAGATAGATGTAATAACTTTCTTGGAAATATTTGTTGACAACTTAAAGATCCAGATATAGATAACGTAATGCTGGTTCAATGTGTTGAAAGATGGACCTGGCACAGGCTCTCTGCATTCTTATATTATCACGATACTATTGTAAAGGCTTAGTGAACTAGGATAAGCCTAATTTTGTTTTTTAAAGTACTGTTGCACCTGAGTGTCTGAAATATAAAATGCAGCAAGCCAGCAAGCCATATTCCCCATGGCCGCCATGTTGTAGGGCAACATTCAACATACTGGTTACTGAAGTAAAGTTAACACGATTTTTCTTTTGAAAATACGTTTGTTAAAGCCTCTATTAATTCATAATCTTGAGATTGTAAATATTTTCCTCCATATATTTCTGGCATGTATGTTTAAAATTGGTTGATGAAAGAGGAAAATTCACTGCTCTGCCCTACAAGATGGCTTGTTTGTTTGTTTGTTTGTTTATTTAGGAAATGGCTAAGGGGAATAACTCCTAGGCAAAATATGTCAAAGAAGTTGGTCAAAAAGGATATGCCTGGTAAAGGTCTCATAAAAAGAGCTGCCTTCTTTTTTTAAATAAATATCAGCTGTTATAGCCATTAGGTATTTAACTTGTGTACATGTACATTCAAAAATATATGCTGATATAAAGAAGCTTAGTTATCATGGTAGTACATTATATAATAGGCCTATCAAGTAGGCAAGACAGGAGTCTCAGGGGCGGATCCAGAATTGAAGTTAGGGGGGCGCAAGAGTTTAAGCAGGGGGTATGGTTGCCGCCTTGAGGCCCCCAGTCAGTGGGTCCAGGGCAAAGCCCTGGTGGGGGTCCTGGGGGCGAAACCCCCTGAAGTTCATGTACTCTAGAGGTTTTGTAGGGTAAAAATGAGGTCTACCGAGTATATAGACATTTTAAACATTTTCGCGACAAAACTATACATGTTTTATGATAACTATGACAATTTTAGGGGGGCGGGGGGGACGCACACCGGGTGCACCCCAACTTAAATCTGCCACAGAGTCTAAGCCTAGTTACTTTCCAATAATGAGTTGTCACGTACAATATACTCACTACTGTAGGTCTATATTAATTATTCTTTATTGTGGTTACTAAATAATAATGGCCAAGCTAAAAGCAGTTGCCAACCTATAATTTTTAGACTGGATAGGAAGGTAGTAATATTAAAGGCATTTTTTTCAATGTTTTTAGATTTTGTTGGATAACAAATAATAGAACTTTTCATAGACTGTCCCCCACTAAATATGAACATGCTCCACTCTTTATCTCTTGTCAAAATCACAGCTGTTTGGTAAACAACAATTGAACAAAGTCAAAAATAGAATAGTTTTAATGTCCTAAAATATTGAGAAAAAAATTATTACAAATGGCTAGAAAAAATTATAATCACAATAATGCATTTTCTATGGGACGGTAGGCAACTGCCAACAAACAAATATTTATTTTACGGCTATGTTTTAAATATTTAGTAAATATTGTACATGTGTATTTCATACTTACAGGTATTTGCTAGTAATAAGCAGATGGTACTCCATTATACTGCACTGATAGCTCTCAAAGATTATACAATTAATATGATACATGCAAACAGGTAAGAAAATTCTAGAATAGGGGAAATATTTGTTGCAGATGTACCGGGTCAACAGGTGCGTGAAAGTCAGTCAATATATTGGGGCGATCTCAATAGCTCAGTGAATGAGAGTGCTGGCACTGTACGTCAGAGGCCCTGGGTTTAAGTCTTGATTGAGACTTGACTTTTCACCACCTGTTACACTTGTATATATTGAAATATGAAAATATTTAAGTACATGTATTATTTTATCACATTGTATAGCAATTGTGTTAAATATTGAATGCATAGCAAAACCATTATAGCATTCATACTAAATTAAGTTAAATTATAGTTAACTTTGTTAATTCATGGAATACTTGTGACTTGTGTAATAAAATATGTTATAGAGATGATGAACAAAATTTTTTTAAACTGACATTTTTGAGTTTCTCTGTAGGCACAGTTAAAATGTCAATCATCACAAGATCAAACTTCAAGTACCAGAGTAATCCTAAATCATCCTGATTTGTCAAAAGACTACATGTAAGTAATTTGTATGAATATTTTAATTAATTTGGACACTTTAATCTTAACAATTATTTCTAAGCTGCACATATTAAATTTTTCCCATCTAAACCAGAGTTCTATATTACAGAGAACAGTCTAGAGGTGGAAACTGATAGATAATTTGAAGAGGATCCTGTTAAAGCAGTCATAAATATGTTTCACAAAACAATGAACACCTTGTTACAGCATATCTTGAACAGCCTAGAACAGGCATTTGTTACTTTCACTCAGAATTGTTTGAAAACTCTAACAGTACACGACTTATAAGCTAAACTCTTAAGTTCGATATTACAGAGAACAGTCTGGAGGTGGTAACTGGTGGATCACTTGAAGAGGAAACTGTTAAAGCACAGAGACATGTACATTAGGAACAACAAGACATCATTGTTGCAGCATATCTTGAACAGCCTGGCATAGGTATTTGTTACTATATTTAAGGTCTAAAGAGTACAAATGTATTCACATATTTTTAGGTCACCAGGTGACCGTCACCTGCGTAAACTCAAGTTCAAGGTTTTTGTGCTAGGGCGGGGCTCTAATGAATGATTAAAGTAAAAAATGCATGAATTCCTCGAAAACCTTTTCCTTTGCTCCTGATTATTATGTCAGTGTTCTAATTAAGTACATATTAATGATGATGAAAGGTGCCTTTTCCAAAATGGTTAGTTTCAGATCCCCTGGGTCAGGGTACTTGGGATTGGGGTGGAATTACATAGTCTGAAAATAAATTAATGCTTTGAAATTTTCTTTTTGGTAATAATCAACCATTTAATTTGAAATAAATTTTATGATAACATTTCAAGAATTTTGAAATCAGTCAGGGTCAGTGGTTCCTGTGGGGTAGAGTGCACAAATGGTTAAAAAGTGGAAAGACATTTTCTCTTTGTTACTCTGATCTAACTCTGGGTATTAAGTACATGTAACTAAAGTAAGCAAGCTAAGTATATAGTTATGATAAGCAATAGTGCCTCTTTCAAAATTTTGAATTTCATGGCCTTTGATTTAGACCAAGAACCAATTCAATTGTTTGAAAGTTGTAACATAATACTCAGGTGACCTATAAGGCCTATGGGTCTCTTGTTTTTAAATCACAATTCTATAATGGAAACATTTAGATAGACAAAAATTGTTTGTGACTGAAAGGTCTAAAGGACTATATCCCAACTCTAACATAGGGTAATTTGAACTATAGATATCATGATATGCTTTTAAAATATAAAATAATAACTTTCATGAAGATATATTCTATATAAAAAGGCTACTTTACTATCATCAGAGGCAGTAAAATAATAATGCATGCTGTTCATGTAAGCAGTGACAAAGTTACAGGGATTGAATTTTAAATTCTTGGCCATAACATAATAATTAATAATTGTATTTAAGAAAGATCTAGATCTCAATATACTGTCCTAATGGTTGATTATAATTATCATTAGATACATTGTATTAAATTTCCAAAACAGAGGTCATGAGGCAAGGTCGAATTTACAGAATTTATAGAAATTTCACTAAAACGTACAACTTTTTATATTATAGTATGAAGGGAACATTATCTTACCTGGCATGCAGCTGATCATGCCCAAGAAATATCAATCCTTCTTAAGGGCATTTAGAGCATATACTAGTACCCGGTATTTAAATCAGAAAATTTATTATCCATTTTGCATTTTAATATAACCTTATAGAATGTTTACCTTTTGTATTTTCAGTGTTTACTAACAACACCACATCAACAGAACTTCAAGATAAAGAAATTTTATGTGACGAGAACCTCAATAAAGAAGATAGAAAAAGATCAATGGTTTTAGTTTTCAATGTAAAAGCTGATGTAACAAATGTCTTTACTTAGTCAGGGAGTCCAGAAACAAGTTTTGATTCTTTGAAATTGAAAGTGACTTTTTGTATGTATAATCATTCATTTCTTGTTTCTGGATTAATTGACTAAGTAAGAAAAAAGAGAAGATATTAAATCCATGGAATTATCCAAGAAAAAAAAATCATTTGCAGGAACTTTTAAGTAGCGAAAATTGTGTTTCCAAGGATTTGATGGATAGAATTAATGGATTGAGTTTTGGGGCACTCAAAAATAATAGTTTGATATCAATTTCTAGGGCTTGTCATTGCATGATATTCATATGAAACCTGGGTTCTTTTTTCGCATGAATTTCATGCGATTTTGTTTTTGCATGATATTCGTGCGAATTTAATTTAAAAATCACATGACATTTTTATGCGAATATCATGCGAGTTGTTTTTCGTCTCCTTTCGTGCGAAGAATTTGCATGATATTCGTGCGAATTTCATATGAAAATCATGCGAGCCACTTTTCCCTGTGTAGGACACAATAGATAGACCAAATTTTTCTTCAAATTCAATTTTTCTGAAACTTTGATATTTTGTTGTAGGAATACAAAATCTCTCTCAATATAGTATCTAGGGTTCTCCATGAGCTGTTTTACTGTGTTGCTCCCGATACAGTAAAATTTTCTCCGACACAGTAACGATTCACATTTTATGCATGCTTCACAATAAAACAATTGCCGATACAGTAAGATCTACAGTACCCGCATCGTTATTCTTTACAAATGTATCATGTCCTATCGTGCGTGTATCCTATCGTAGCGTGTTTTCCGTTTATCGTGTTTTGCGTTTTCTATCGTGTTTTCCGTTTATCGTGTTTTCCGTTTATCGTGTAGATCGTTTATCAAGTTCTATCGGGTATCGTGTTTTGCGTTTATCGTGCATATTCGGAAACCCTCGCTTTTTATCTTTACTACAGGTAGAAACTACCGAGGTATTCCGAGTTTCTTTTTCGTTTTGTCAACTAAAATAAGATTATTTTAACCCAGAAAGAGTAAAGGAAGTTTTATCCCTAAGTTTTTCATCATTAAAGAAATATTAAAGCGTGAGAGGAAAAGAATAAATAAATAAATAATTAAATTAATAAGTTAAACAATCAATGATAAATTATATTAAGAAAATAATCATATCATATAGTCAAGCAGCGAATCAAAATTAACTTTTGACAATAAAATAATCAATTCCCTGCTTTTTTTTTAATTCATCGAATTGTATGATTTTGCGGTCAAAATAAAATATTAATAAGATTTTCTTAAATTATTCAGAGTCACTAGAGGATGATTTTCGGTAAGTCACGGTGTATACCAACAACCCCCCCCCCCTCCGAAAAATTATGATAATAATAAGCGGGGAATTGATATGCATCTTTTTTAAATTCAATATTCAATATCTCCCAATCAATCGTATGGTACATGTACTATTAGCCTCTGATCTGCATGTATGCACAATTATTTAAAATCTTGAAATAATAACGAAGCATTTAAGACATTGACCCAGATAACTTTAACACTGATTTTGTCTGTATATAGACTCATTCTTTTAAATTTATCTTAATTATCATCTGATAAGTGAAATTCCTTAATACGTCTAAATTTAAAAAATAACAAATTAATAAAATGGAATGCATGAAAATCCTCCACCCGATTTAACACACCATGGCAGTTACTATAAAATAGAAGTTTTTTCATTCTAGACCCATCACTGAGTAAATCATGAGAAATCCACTGCTCTTGACCATGTTACGTCTACTACTGAGACCTAAGGCCCTGTGACCTTTCTATTTATAACTACACTTTTTAATAAACAAACATTTTATTCAATTTTTTACACTTCTACTTCTTCTGATCTGTTCTCTATGACTTTGTTCAACACACGAAGTCCTTCCTTTTTGGTCGTGTCGTTAATCTCGGAAAAGAGGATGCGTCAATACACGTACTCTCTAGGAAAGTAATGAGGTGGAAAAGTCAGTCTTTTTTTCACCATCTTGTAAAAATGTTTCACACAGTCTCCGATGTCCAAGTACCACTGACCTTCATTCTGAATCATGTTGATGGGTGTCAGACTATTCATATGAGTACAGGTGACTCAATTGTATTGCTGATAATGTTGGTTGATTTTCATCCTCACTCTAGATCCTTTAGGTCATGGGATTTTGTTTGACTCTTTTTTCCAACCACACATTGTTGAGGGAATGTCCTGAATGGTTTTCAAAAAAATCCATGACCGCTCCTGTTTTAGTTTTCATCCAGCCTTCTTGCATGCACATAAACTGACTGATTATGACTCTCACAATACCAACGATACTGCATCTTTAGAAAAAAAAAACACGTCTGACTTGGTCACTGTACTTTTCAGAATGAGAGGGTTTAAAAATCTACTTTTAAATAAACACCTAATCTATTTATAAGTCATTTTAAAAAAACAAACAACAACAAAATATAAAGGTTAAAAGATTTGCACAAGTTTTATTCAAGTAAAGATACAAAAGTCAATTGTTTTCTTTTGGATTTTTTTTTTCAAGGACTACTTGGCCTCCCCCTGTGTTTTCTCAAAATTAATTTCTATAGTATCGGCATAGGTGACATTTTCTGTAGGAAGTTTTTAAAAAGTTCTTCACTTTTCACAGCACGGATATTACCTGCATTGACCGCATTCCCATTTCTTCAACGTATTTTCCTGGTGGCAAATCAGGCATTCCTTTAAATGTCTCTTCCTGGTCATTTAAACCCATGGGAGAGGCGGTATGTTCTCTACCCCGTTCTTCCATATGAAATACTTCACACACCATCTACAGGCACAAATCTCCATGAAAGGCTTATCATCCACAAACTAATGTGGAAATGACTCGCAAATCCTATAAGTTCGGTGATGCCATCCCGGATAATCATACACCATGAATTTTTGCGGATGGATCATCTCCTTATCACAGTAATGACAAATATATTTTTCTACGTCATACAAATAGTACAATCTCCACATGAATACCATGATTGGAAAAATGAGCGCAGTGTACTCAAAGCTCAACTTTATATACCTTAGTGTTTTTGTAAGGTCGTGTGCAAAAATAAAATTTGACCTACGTTTGCTAAGTCCATTGGTCGTAGGTACTATGTACAACTTCAGGACTTTTTTTTGCTAAGGACTCATTGATTGTGACGTCATTATCACACACAAACGGTTATATAGAGCGTCGCTTTGACTTCACTGTGCTCTTTGTAACAATCATGACTTATGTGTGGAGAATGTCCTATTTTATTTACCAAGAACATAGTAGAAGTTTGCATTGCCGTAAAAAGTTGACAGAGATCAGCAGAATACATATATACTACTCAAAATTTGATAAG